ACCAGTGGTAGGACGCTAAATAAACAAGTATGCACTCTTATTTATAAATCAATGATCTTATTAAGTAAGGCAAATGTACGAGGGATATTGATATGTCGAAAGTAAGCATGATGATAACGATTGATGTACCCCAATTCTATGAGATCAACTCTGGTCTTAATCTAGGTATTTTGTAATCAGGAGATCGCTCCATCCTCGAATTACAATATGTTCGTTTCGAAAACATATATGTTGGTTGGTTTGGTGAGGTATATTCGGGCACGCGGACGACCCACTATATCCGGTATTTGCAACCATGGTTTTTGAGAGGTAGTGGCAGGTTTTTCAGCTAATGTGGAATTCACACTGCGATTGTCACCCTCCGGGATTATTGTACACAGTGATGGGATTGAACCGACAGTCATCATCTTAAAGATTAGCCTACTGCACCACTACCCTAGGGAACCACCCCCAATTTCGAAAACATATAATACGTCACAAAGTAGAGGAATGGTCTATTGTTGGGACATTTAGCCAAATTATAAATGCCTAAATTTATTTCTACCGAGAGTGTGTGTAAAAAATGATGTTTGATTGAAGCAATGCGTATCCTCCTGCTTTCTTGTAATGAAAGATAGCCATTCGAAAGTGCATTACTTAAGGCATACTCGCTCAAAAAGCAGTAGCAGATAGATGCTATATGTCGAGACGTGTTATAATAGAATGCAACGGTTTGGTAAAAGGCGGTCTTCGTTGGCATATCACGTCACTGAGCAACTCGCTGCTTCAGCAAGGCTTTCTCTATTGCATTGACAGTCCAATGGTGCATCAAACACAGATTATTCCGTATTTTTAAGTTGTTTTTCCAAGAGTATACAACATGTCTTTATTGGCGTCGTCGTCATCGTATTCTATTATCAACTGAGCTGACTGGTATATAAGTTTAAACTAATTGAAGCTGATTTTACGCATAGCGTAATATAGCTGTACGTCAAAAGAATTTTAAAAATGATATTTTCATGTAAGTGCACGGACGACAGAGTGCTACAAGCTGAAACGGTTGATATGTCGAAAACCACGAGAACAGTATAAGCTTCCACGCTGATGATAATGTATGCAGATTCTGTGAAACGCCACGTTTGTAATTGCATATATTAAGGAGGCGTTTACTAAGTTAAAATAGTTAATACGAAAGGTTTGCTTTCGTCAACTTAAGTTAATATGTGGATGATATTCGACTTGACTACGTAAGACTGTATGTCGTAGCAACTTCTCTCCTCTTTCAGCGCTTTAGGTTGCTGTATGTGATGGTTCAGATCATTTCTGGCATCATCCCGCGAATATATTCTCACGAAAAGCTACTGGCTCAAACTTTGTATAAACATTCATCATTCCTTTTGCAATCGAGATGATGACCAAATTTATCGATCTAATTGTAGTCATTTTTGACTAACTTACTCAACCCGTCACACTGCGGTCATGAGAAAGTCTACGCTTTCGTATGGCATGAATAAAAAGCGATAGTAGCAGTGTAGTCTTCGATATTACCATATATTGATACTGAAATATGAACACGACGAAAATAACATAACGTTCTACATGCAATGTCTCCTCGTGTGAGCGAATATGTAGTGACTTATGCTGTCAGATTCGACGCCAGACCGATGCGTCGCTGCTTTTGTCAATCTTCGTAGCTATCTTATCGGAGCTTTTCGTATTGAGGCAGTATCCATTGCAGTTTATCTGGCTTTGGAAGTTTTGGTATCTTGCGTATGAATAATACAGCGAATGTCTTCTGGAATGCATGCAGCTATCGACACGACAAGAATTGTGCGACCGTCATGGTAAGGCTCGTACACTTCTGGGATACTTATAATTTAATATGCATCTAGTATAACTTTGCGCTGCGTGAATCAACGTCATTTCGTTTGCGGTATTCAATATATGCCTTAGTAGGTAATTTATGCTCGTTAATTTTGTTGCACGCTCATTCTACTGACAAACAAGAAATGTACAATGCAGCACACACAAAATTGGACAGGAAAGAGAGACGAAGACTTTGAGAACGACTTTGACATTTAAGACACTGTATCTTGCGGATATATACCGTTCTCAATCGGTGTGTTTGACCATCGATAGTGAGTGTGCTCCTTTCTTGTGGCTTATCAAGTGGAGGTGTTCTCACAGTGCCAGATTTCGTACAGTCTGATTTGGAAACATCCGTGCGAAACACGTTTTATTCTTAAGGTCGTTGATGGATGGCAATCTGTAGTCCTTTCTTCTTTGACGCTACGTTACACTTTCCGTTCTATATGTTGTCGGCCGTTATTGCGGAGAAATTGCTAGCAGCATAGGCTTATCGATATAGAAGGATAGGAAAAGTGCATCAAATCGTGAGTGAGCAAGCCGCTCTTTTATGACCCATCCCTTAACTCTTTCTGATTGGCGGGGTCTTTGGACTTGCCGAATGAGGCGATTGAGGGTTTGCAAGGTGCATGCGGCAGAGAAATTGACTATGTTTGGCTTACATAGTGCAGATCAAGGCCAGTCAAATGGTGGCTTTCCGATGACAATGCTTGTACAATAGGATTCGATACTTAGAAATATTGACGTAGCTATGTTGACGTTTATCGCGCTCGGCAAGCCATGAATATAGTATCAACCATTCGTCCTCAAAGGACTGAAGTTGGCGGTCAGAGTCAGATCGTCATTTGGATGTGTGATGTAATCGGCCTCATCTGTCACGCAGTAATAAAATCGCGAACTTGACCAATATCAATAGCCTCGTGTAGAAATTGATGTGGCCGACTGGCAAACCCAGATAATGGTTGATCTTCATACAGGCTATAGTTTGGCCAGTCAGCGTACAAATATGTGCAAGAGAATGGGCACGATAAGCATGCATCCCTCGTAAGGATGGCATCAAAATCATTAAAGTAGCATAGCGTAAAGCAATCTTATGACCTTGCCAGCATCAGCTACGTGTGTCAAGCAGTCGTCGCCGTACCTTGTCATTTACTTCTTGAGAACAGCCAGATATTTTGGATGCTAAACCTGAACAGCAACAGTGGAGAAGAACGTGCATCTGTGCTTACAAAACATGCCAGTATGTATCCGAGCGACTACGTGCTGCAGGCGCTCATCCTTTCTTGATAATTGGCGGCACGACACCTCAAGACATTACCCGGACAGTTCCGTTTGCACAAGCCAATCGAATCCAAAGCGTCCTGATTCAACAAAACCCAGTTTTGACTGACCATCAGGAAAACTCACGGACTGTACATGTGTCATTTGACTAGATCATCAGTCTGTAGGTCCTCTTACCCACAACAAATTTAGCATCGTATCGTACATCTGCTAGAACTAGATGCAACAAAAGTGGCCCATGATGTTTTGAATTGGGTGCAGTTGTTGCTAGCCGTCATGTCACGAAATAAGGTGGTATCCCTTTTACACTTCCTTGCCAACCAGTTTTAGTTCGCACTACGCGATATACATATTTTGCTTGCTACAGTCAATGCGAGTGCCTATTACAGGCGGTGTATTAACTTTCATGACGTTCCTACTACTATTCGCGTCATGATGTTGGCACACGAAAGATAATAACGTATGCCGTAGTCGCACCAACCGAACGTATGAAGACGTATAATGCGCCTTTGCGTCTCAGGAGACCCCTATCCAACACAAAAACATAAGGTGTGGCATAATGTCGATTCACCAAATGCACAGACAACAAAAGTTGTCGAAGAAATTCAAAGACACATACATCATCGATTATCGTCAGTGTCAGCCGCATCAACGTTGCAACATCTGGATATGGCAAGACTGAACAAAACGTATCGAAGGCACCGACTATTTGTGGTCGTCGTTTCACCGTGTTAAGATGAACGCGTCGATCCCTCACGACCCTGATCGAAAGTTGAACACTGACACGAACCAAGGCCAGGTCCATACTCGTAAGCAACGCATGAAGCTCTGTCGATGATACAATGTGTGCAGCGCAAACGCTTCTGATCTCCCGGTCTCAGTATTTTTTGTCTTCCGTTCCGACCTTGGGTTTTCGTATGACTTTTTGACGTGGGTTACAACGTCGTCGTGACGTTTCAGACGTTCAGATCCGTTTTTTGCTCGCTGTGTGTTGTAGTCAACGTGTCCGACCACTCTTTTGTCGACACTCAGCGATCAGCTGAATAGGCGAGTAAAAACGAGCGCTGTCAAAAGTCAGGTGGTGGTTGGTCTACTTCGGTATCGCTGTTGTCGTCAGCTTGGACACATGGCAGTCGCTGCTGATCAGTCATCGATCGCCCAAGGCGGTGTTTGGACACACTTGTGCAACTGGGATCAGCTCTTGAAACGCGTGAGAAGGATTCTGAGTTCTCTTCGGCTTACAGCTTTGCGTCACTTTTCACGATGAAGGTCCGAAGGAGGATCACGCCACATTTGCCATAATCACTACTACGTCCTTGAATAGGGCATTGCTGGTCGCTAATCGTTCCTCAATATGCCTCACTTTTACTACTACTACTACTACTGCGTCCTTAAGTGGGTCTTGCACCAAACAGACTGTCCGTTACCTGACTTTCGCGCAATGGTACCAGTAAGTATTCTATCACCATCGACGTGCAAGGCGTGATGGAGCAAGTCAACGCATGGTTGACCCGAGGCGAGCAAACAAGTGAGTATTCAAGGAGTCACATGGTATCAAGTAAAAGTCAATGCCTTATTCTCACTCATGGTGACTAACGCAGCTACAGTGTACCGTACGACTTGCACCGTAGCGAAACGCGATCACTCGGGTGGGGTTCGTCGTCGATTATAAAAGTCTTTGTACCTTAGCTTGATAACGACTTGCGCCGCAGCGTCGAGATGCTGTATACGTTCTTGCAGACGCTCAGTGGGTGTAACCTTCTTGGAGTACCAATGCTTAAATAATTCGCGCTCATATTTCATCATATTCGCCTTCATCTCGTCATTGGTGCTCCCCTTTTCGAACATCTTTAAAAGCCTGCCTCTGAGTACATTCAATACAGTTGTTGGCTGTGCTGTAGACTTTTTTTGTTGTAGTCCTCGACATACTTCGTCATCTTGTCCAACCTCTTCGTACGAAAAAATTCTTCCGCTTTTTGGCCAGTCCCTAGCCTCTTGAACGCGTCCGAGGGGCTCATGCCATCGAAAGCGCACATCTTGAGGAAAGCATCTTCCAGCTCATCTGCCTTGTCGATTAAAAAATTCTTTCCATTTGCCTCACGTAGCAGCAAAAATAATTGCTTTTCCCCACCAAAGCCATCCATGATAGCGCGGAGATAAGCTACATCACTTTTGTCGGCCATCTTAAGCTTGCTGTAGTCTTCCAGAAGTGTCAACTTTGGACTAGTCATCTTCCGGGCGAACTCAACGATCGACACGTCAACTTGGCGATTATATAAGATATCCGCCAGTTCACCGGCTGTGAATTCATAGTGGTTGATTTTGAGAGCAGTGAACACGTCCTTCAGTTCTTTCTTCTCCTTGAGCCATCTTTGCAACAGATCCTTCACCAGCTTCTCCACGGTGGTCGAAGGTTCCTGAAACCGCGCAGGGTTGTCAGTGTTGGTCTTTCGCGCCGCAGCAACCGCGCGAGCCACAACATCAGCTCCGTAATGGTTGGCAAGGTCGTCAATCATTGACTGACCAGAGGCTTCGTACAGGCGATACAAATCCCCAAACTCTTTGTCTTTTAGTGCAGCATCCACATATTTCACGAAGACGCGGTCCCGCATCAATAGCCGCGACCTCTGTGGCTCCTTTTGCTCCCCTTTCAGCGTCGCACGCCTGCCTAGTCCTACAATCTTTGAAAATGCGGAAGAAAAAGGTTCAACCAAAGGGCCCCTTTCGTCGGCGTCAGGCGGACCATCACGCGTTGACGACCTCGAGGCAGTAGCGTCGTCGTCGTTGTCCGGCAATGGACGAACGACCGCCGGGAAGTCGAGCGCTGTCACGTTAGAGCTCGCGGGTTCCAAGACGCCGTCCACACGGGACGAAAGAGCAGATGACGTCAGGAAAACGAGAGAGTAGACGCGCATTGTCGAGAGAACGGAGTTACTGTCGTAGGAAGAGCGGATGGTAAAGTGGGGACTGGATGCGTGCTTCGCTAACGAGCGAGCGACCGCTTGAACCAGCCACGTGGTCAATAGCGTACGTTCGTGCAGCATATTCTACCAATCTGGTGATCGAGCGACCACATCCGCAAGAAGGTGTGTCCCAACCCGCTCTGTTCGATCCGGCCTCGTCCACGTGACTTTCTGCTCGTTTAAATGATGACAGTATGGACTTTTCCAAGCAGATAAGTTAGAGCGACTCAACATGCACCAAATAGTGACTAGAATACAAACATGCACCAATTATAGAGTAAAAAATACGTACATGATATACAACTGCACCTTACAACTGCACATACTATGAAATGCGGTAATTTATCATGAAGCTAGAGTGCGCCAAATAATCGAGGAATCGTGCACCTGTTTCTGTTATTTGGTGCACAATTTCACAAATAGAGAAATGGTTCACCAAGTAACTGAAACAGAAAACAAGCGCCACAACATGGACGAATTAGGCGTTAAATAATCGGACAGAAGAAAGGGCTCCAGCGGTGTAGACGAATTGACCGAATACACATCACCTGAAATTATGCAAATACATACATGCACGTATATCTTCACACCTTCATCCATGTACATCCATGTACATCCATGTATCGTCACGCCCTCCACACCCTCTCAACTTTTTCCGTCACAACTCGAAGCGCAAGAAGGAGTAGGTGCTGACGCGTCAAACGTAGTCTTGAAGTGTGCTCACGTCGTTCGATATGATGGCTACGTTGCTTCTGACCCTTTCATCAGCCTCATGTGATGTGCTAATGTATCAACATGTAGATCTGTCTGGATTACACATTTCCACAAGATATCGTTGCGAAGGAATAATAGAGAAAGCGCCGTACTTAAATGACGCGTACACAGTGCTGTGTTTCATACTCAAGGGTACGTACGTCTCGAGGCAGTGTGAGATCAAGTATAGAGAAGAAACAAGAGCAGGTGTTTTGATGGAGAACTCACAAATGTGTGTTGGTGCTGTTGAAGGTGCTAATGCAAGTGTTTGCGAAGGCTTTGAATGCCAAGACTACCATCATACTGGACTTAGACCTTATTGGCTCTAGCAACAGGACATAAGCGGCCATCAGCATAGAGGAAAGCGTCTATGTAAAAGGCGACTTGAATACAGATGCACACTTGCCATCGTCAAGATTGAAAGGTCTTGTGGATGCGATCACCTGCATTTACGGATAAAGATGTCGTTGCTGACTGGTTTGTCATGCCTGCATATTTGTCTTTCGAACTACAGAGTCGACAATGCACTTATTGTTGCGTCTGCGTGATAATCAGTTCGTTCTTCTGTTTGTTTTACGAACAATACGATTCGAAATGCACAATTATCGTTCAGGCGTTGTGCGTCAATTGTGCGACCCAAACATGAGCAACAACGAGCATGTACAGCTGCCAGCTGCGAGCCGTGAGCAGCTCGAGTTTCTACTTCGAGACGGAATGCTCACTCTCGACGCAATAGACGTAATTTAATGATACAGGGAGTGTATATACTGACGACGACGAAAAACAGAAAAGGGTGTGGAATCGACGAAGTAGAGGAGAAGACAGAAGATATGAGTAAATGTAAACGACTGCTCCAAGGGCACGTGAAAATTCGCTCGTATGACATACACATCCGTAGTGCACTTTTACTTCAGTGTCCGGTACATACTTCTTCATTTCCTCATCTTGTGGTACATACTTTCTGCTCTGGATTAATTGGCACATGTGTATTCCTTAACTTGCGGTAAAAGCTTCGATTTCTGTGATCATTTGATGCTTGTCAGTTGATCCCAAACTTTGACTGCCGCCAATTGCCTTCCGGTTCGTTCAGAGGGCGTTCGTTTGACTTTTGTACGTAACGACGGATATGCATGACGTGCATCTTCCGTTCAACGTAAAGTGAGGAGGGAAGCCGTTTACGATCAGATTGCGCCACCTCGCCCTCTTTTCATATCCTATACGCCCATCGATGAAGTGCTCGAATATCGTGATCATGACGTGTTCTTACTGCCACAAGATGAAAGGGTTGCACGAATAATTTGTAAACATCCACCAAATAAGTGCATGGTCTTCATGTATGTTTAACGAGCACAAGAATGAAATGGTGGTGCAGGTGCTACTTATCAGCAAATCAAACGACCAAGTTGGACGTGCGTTTTAGAAGAAGACGCTCGGAAGGGTTGACTGTTCTACATGATGGCGAAATGAGCGAGGTGCTTTTCTTTTGCTAGATTACCTCGTAGGGACAAATTATCAAACCTTCGCAATCAAGCTCAAACGAGTCGAAGCCTTAGTCTCTATATCGCAAAAAGCCCGTTTAGTGAGCATCAATCCTTCTCAACGTCAAAAGAAGTGGAGTTCAGCACACATATACCACTCGACGGTCTGTCTGTAAGGTATCAACTCGAACTTGTGGCATCTATGTGATGACATAAGCCCGGTGTATCAAATTGGGACCAGACCAAATGCTAATGGTGGTTTGTCAAATCCATCATATGATGCTGCACTCACTGATCATCGGTTGGATGTTGGCCCTTACATCATCTAACAGGCGTCTAATGAATGATAGACGCTCGCAGTGGGTGGGTACCGGGTGGTTCAACACACCCCTGTTATACTTAGGGGCAACTCTACTATTGCCTCCGATCAAGGTGTTCGTGTAGTTGCATTCGCTTCGTTAGCGTTCGTGTACGTGCGTTCAGAGGCGCCTACCTGCACCAACTTCTGTGCAGTTCCGCTTATACTCTTCACAGTACATACGCAGGATGCTTCATTACAGCCACCATGCCATGCGTCATCGATATGGAGACCACGCACATCAGTTCGAAGAGCTGTGGATTTGTATACGTATCCTTCGCTTACACAGCACAGTGTGGACGGAGTTGTTGGTCACCTCACCGACACTCTATACGTGTGGAAGAAAGTGTGTTCATCTAAGCCAGAATAGAATAGATGAATGAAAAAAACTATATCTGACTTGCTTGGCTATTTTTGAGATTGGTCATGTATAGAACTTTGTTGAACATATGGGACTACAGACCTGTATGCTGACTACTTGCACACCACTTATTGCGCGCGTCTCGTCTTGATGAATACCGTATTGACTGAAAACGCTATTGATAAAATTCGATGTGTCGATCGTCATCGGTTTCTTACTGAAAATGACCTTCAAGGGTCATGTGATTCGATGTCAGTAGCTTATACGATGTTCAACTAACATTCAGTAGTTATACGTTAGTCAAGCTGATGAAATCACTTATTGTCACTTCATGCACGAGTTCATATTGGTGCATGGCCACAATCCAACGGTAACATTGATGAATGTGGTGTACCGATCGCGTGCACACCGTTCGTTGCTTTGGGCATACAAGGACGTTGCAAGCACAGTCAAGCACTAAGACGTTCTTCATCGCATGGCCATGAACAAATACAAATTGTGCGTGGCGAAGATTTCTATGGCGACCGAAATTATACGACTTCAGGCGCTGCAATAGCCCTTGAGTATTCACGCCGCATAGATGGTGACCATCGGTAAAGCTCATCGTCATTCGAAGTTTCGAACGTTCCGAACGTCGCATGCGGTAAGGATTCAATTCAGTCGGATTGGATCGATGCGGGGCATGGGAAAAGGCAGTAACATAGATTCATGTTGGCGGTCCGAGTCAGATCAAGTAGTACCGCATGTTTCGACGCCTGTCAGTGAGTCAGACGTTGTTGCTTCCAAGTAAGCTGTTCGTTCGCAAGTAGGCTACAATCGAAGTCACAGCGGCTAAGTTCATCATTATGAATACGGTGATGTCGGTGCTTTCTGTAGTGATCGGATAAATGAAACTGATCGCGACAAACGAGATATTGATAATTCTACAATTATCACACATACTCCTGGCATGGAACACAATGTCCTGCGTGCAGCTCACGACGTCAAGTCGCGAACACCTCCACAATGATGACACATAGGATGGACCGGAGTGACCAGCAAGTGCGATTCATTGATCGATTTTGATCGTCGAAGTAAGGATGTCTCGAGATCAATGCAAACCTTTTTTGTCCTAAGTATGTAATAAACTTCGATCTTGGCTTGTAAAAATGATACAGCGGTGGTCGGACCACGACCCTAATTTACTCGTAATAGCTTTTGGTAATTTTTGTCAACACTTTGAATGCACACGCTGGTCACGGGCCTTGTTTAAGCAAAATGATGACCAGCGACAATGGGTTGGATAAGCACGCTACAACTAGTGCAAGGCTTGCATTGCGTTGACTGGAAAAAGGCTGGTCCATGATGCTTGTGTGTAAGCGACTTGAGTCTCAGATTACTATAAATATAAAATCGTGCGCACAGAGAGGCGTTTATACTCGATGATATCTGGTGGAGGCTTGCACTGCTACCGGGACACCTAAAATCACTAATGGGTTGCATAACTCAAAAAGCACGCTGTGTTCTCGCTAATCATATTGCCATCTGATCCGTTCGACGATATTTGCCTTACGACTCAAAGTGAAGCGGAGCTACACAGCTCCCTAAGTCAGACGACGACTTAACGCTCTTACGAGCAACCTAGGTTCGAGAATCCGACTCCTGAGAGTCACACAAGCTCAAGAGCTTACGGTCCCTGTTCCAAAGGGGACCAAACGATTCAAAAGAATCACAGCACAGAGTGCTCAAGGACAAGCTACCTTCACAGGCGTTGCCTAGTCCTTACGATCAAGACGCCCCGTAGGGCACGTGTCTCTTACTGATCAAAGGGGAACTGAACTTTATTTCTTCTTTTAACCTAAAAGAACACCTTAGAACAACGTAATTAACCTGACCTAAATAAAACCTCTTAAAAGGTCTCGCAATCAATGGTTGACAAACATCAGTCTTCAACAATTGATACACTTACTGTAGTCTATTATCACTTTACAGGGGACCCCATCTCTTGTGTGCACCACACCTA